TTCTTTTATTTCTTCTGATCTGCAGTCCCAAGCTGTTCCTCACCCTGGCAGACCCTGTCAGCCCAATGCAGGATGTAATTTACTTGCCTTGAAGTTTGTTGCTCTGTCCACTGCCACAGCTGACATTAACACTCAATGCAGCTGATGTTTATAATTTCCCATATGAAGGTAAATTACTTCAGAAAATGCCACAAATTAAATGTTCTGCAGTGTGGTTCATCCAAGAAGCTTATCGCCTATAGCTATTCACGTGTGCAAGGATTTTGCTGTCACTACCCAGGATGAGATTATTAGTCTTAATTAATTAATGAAAGCATAGTGCCTGGAAAACTTCCTACCAGCATAGAAAAGGACCTGTGACCATGATTTTTTTAGAAACCCCCGGTCTGCAGTCTCTTGTTGGTGCTGTGCCAGATTGTGCTTCCCAGGTTGAGAGGAGAAAGGTGCTGGTAGAAGCTGGATGGGAGCTGGGAGATATGTCCCATGCCATATCCTGCTTCTCTGCAACGTTGTGGCTCTAGGAGCCAGGGCAGTGGCTCCCAGGACAGACTTATGTCATGTCCTGATAAAAATCTCATTGCATGTTGTTGACATCTCTACTATAGGCTACCGTCTCCTTATTTAATCCACAAAGGTCAACGTACCTACCTCCCTGCCTTGATGAGTGTTCAGTTCTTTGGGAACTTCGCACAGAACTCAAGATGGCTGAAATTTCTTGGCTATGTTTTATGCTTTGAAAAATAGGGCTTAGTGGGAAAAACTTTTTGTGGGTTTCTGTTGAATTTGCCTGGTCCAGCAGAGAAAAATGGAAAGGGGAAAATGTAGAAGCAGCAAGAGTTTCATGACTAGACTCTGCCCACCTTAATAGGAAAAAAAGACCAAACCCCTCTCTCCAGATGAATATTTCTTCTTCTCCCCCCAGTGAGATTTTTTTTTCTCCCCCCCCCCCCCCCCCCGCCCCCCGTAGAAAAAGCCAAGGAAAGTTACTCTTCTGCTTGACTTGAAACAAAAATATTTTTTCAGGTTTTTTCCCCGTGGTTTGGAAAGCTGTGTTTGTCACCCGGGGGTTGTTTTACGCTTCCCTTCCAAACCTCACCCATACGTCAGTGTGAACCTTTCAGCGTCCTTCCAGGAGCCCTCTGCCAGCAAAGCTGTGTAAACTCCAGTTAATATTGGGCTCAATTTCTTACATGGGCGAGTGAATTGAAAGCTGATGTTGTTCTCATGCTATGTAAACTGAGTGTCACTGAGAGCTTTAGACCTCCTCGTCTGGGGCCTCAGCTGCCTTTGAAGATGACTTTACTGAATAGACTGGAGCAGTCAAGAGGCTGACAGCAGGCACTGGCGTGGCTGTCTTGGGCAAGAGGCAGTTCTAGGACAGCCACAGCCTCCATGTCCATTTCAGATGCTATTAGTTTTTCTGAGTGGCTCGTGAAAAGGAGGTCAGAGGAGGTCTTCTCTAACCCTCTGTCCCAAGCTGGGCTCTCGTCCCTGGGAGCTGGTCCTCATCCTTGTAGGACTTTGTCCTTGGGTGAACGCTGCCATGTAAGGCAAAATCTGCTTCTCTCGCCTCCATCCTGCTGAGCCCCGTGTGTCTGTTGAACTTTGCTCGCCTGCTGAAAGCAGGATCGTTTAATGACCATTCAAAAGTTTGGTTAGTGTGCTGCTAATTGTTCTCCATTTTGGCCTTGCAGTAGCATCCCTCCCCTCCTGTTTCAGCCCAAGGCTCTGCACAGCTACCCCTGTGCTCTCCATCCTGACCTCCAGCATGTCCTGCTGGCACATGTGCTGCAATTTCCAGTTACAGTTGCCCAACAGGACAAAACATGAAAAGTTTTGGTTTCCTGGGCTCCTTGGGGTAGTGGAGTGTGTCTGAGGTGGGTTGGGCATGAGACCACTGTCCCTTTGCTATGCTGCTAACCCTGTTGCTTCTCTCTTTCTCCTTTCCACAGAGAGTACGGACAACTTTGTCTCAAGTAAGTGTCTCCTTGCTCTTTGCATACTGTGGGTGTTTTGTTTTTGTGGTTCCCCCACCTCCCCTTGTGACTTACATGCTCCTGGAGGAAAAATCAGGAAGCCAAAAGCAGGTTGGAGAAGGTTGCACAAAGCTCTGGCTTCCACATGCACAAGCAAGATGGCCGGGGAACTTTTATTCAGCTGGGCAATCTCTAGAGCCCAGGAGATGCTCATTTCCCTCTAGTGATGTCCTGAAGAAGGTCCTATAGTGGAAATGACAGTCTTTGAGGTCTTAAATGGCAGGGCTGGAGACAAATACCACTGAAACTCTAACCGGTTGGTTGTGGTGTAGCGGAAGAGGTCTTAACTAGATGCAGGCTGGCCAGTCCCCAAAGCAGTTGTGTGTCGTGGCCCATTTACAACACGCTCTCTAGTGCAGACTGGGATGAGAAGCAGGACTCAATTTCTGTGATGTTTCCTCAACAGATTCTTTCTGTTTTCCTTCCCCCTCCAAAAAACATCCAAGTAACTGTTTCTTTCGATCAAGTTCTGCTGGAGTCAGTCTTGTGTTTTAACCCTACTTAGCCCAGTAGATTTTTGAAAGCTCTAGGAGATGGCTCAGGAGTGGAGGCCACCCACCCTAGGACACCAGGCACCTAAATGTTTTTCGTTTGCAAGGCTGGAGTGACATCAGCGTTGTCCTGGTCTGTGTTTTCTCTGCTGATGTGCACAGAGAACTCTCTGATGGTTGATTTTGGTGCCTTCTGAAATAGAAAGTTGCAGCCTCTGTTAGGGGTGAAATGGATCTCGTTAGGTCAGGTGCTGCCATTGGGGATGTGCTGGTGCCTTGGGTGTCCCATGCGAGCCATGTTGAATCTTCTGTCTTTGGTGTTTTGGTTTCAGTTGGTGATTATGAAGTGAGTCCCACCCCACCGATCACTGTGACCCACAAACCTGAGGAGGACACCTTTGGGGTGAGTCCTGTCCTCTTCTCTACACTGTTTTGCATGCATTTCTTGTTATTGATGACTCAGTATTTACATTCCTGTGCTGTTTTGAGATGTTTGCAAGGAAAATCTCTTCCTCTATGACTCAAGACAACAATCAGAAGGATTTTGTGGCTTGTGTCAGGCAAGTAAAATACTGACATGAACCATCTGATCCTCTTGGGTCTGCAGTGTGGAACCAGGGAGCTCTTTGAAAATAAGGCATCCTGTGAAGTTGCTGCTGGCAGGGTCAGAAATTCTCACTCCAAAAAAGTAGCACCCAGAGAACAAACAAACAGGCAATTTTGTGTTTCCGACTGTTATCGAGCTGTTAAGTTTAGCTCTGTGAGGGGCTCAGACTTAGCTTGATTTAATTCCGTCAATGCCAGTTTGCCCTCTCTCCTGTTCTGCAGGGCATGCCAAAAATGAAAAGGGAAAGAAAGCCTACAGCTTATCAGATCTCAACATTGTCTTTCTTCTGCAGAATCCAAGTAGAAAAAGAAAAAAAATTTGTGTATAAGTATTGGGGAAAAAAATTAGCATGTTACACAATTGCTCTAATTCTGTGAAAGTTTTAAGATTTTGAAACTCACCAGGTGTTAACAGAATGAACAAAACTCAATCCACCTTGATTTCAGTTCTCATCGAACTGAAAGTCTCCTATAACTGAAGTGAAAACTTTGAACAGTGAGACTGGAGTAATAATGTGCACTGATTATTAAATATAAAGCACAGAAAATAAGCTGGGGAATGAAAATAGAGTGTGGTAAAATAAAAAACTTAAAAATATCATAGCTAATGTATCAAGGGCAGGGAAAAGGGTTGCAAAATGAAATTACTTTTTCTTGGTTAAATGATGTATTTTCTATTATAGCAGAATAGAGTTTTGTAAAAGGAAGCGAAGTCTAAATGCATCACAAGACACAGTACAGGAGAACAATTGGACAAATGCCAAAGAAATTGTTGTTTACATCAATGCAATAAAAGTATCTCGAGCAAAGACTTGAAGGAATAAACATTCGTAAATATTAAAATAAGCCTGGGATTGTAAACCCTTTAGGGCAAGGAGGTTTTCTTTCCTATGCTTGTACGCTGACACTGGAACTACAGTTGCAGTGAAGGACTTTGGATACTGTTGTAGTATAAATATTTACTACTAAAAATTACAATAAATAGGGAACCATTAGAGGCTTTAGGAAAACCAAATGTTTTTGGGGAAAAAAAAAAACAAAACAGTTCTACTTAATTTCTTCTGTTTTCTTTTTGTGGTGTGTTATTTTCTCTCATTCTTTGTCCTGAGGGATGTTTGGATGGAGACAGAGTTGCTCTTTCTAAAGAGTTTTCTGCTGCTCCTGTGTGTGCCCAGCTCAGGTTAGTATAGCTTTAGTGTTGTGACATCATGACACAGTGGTGATGTCACAAATGGAGGCTCATGATGTGGTGCAGTGAAGGGAGAGCCCAGACATTGGAGCAGAGGTCCTCCTACCCTGCAGATGCATGGAGTGAGAGGCTGGAGAGAACTGGTGCCAGAACAGCATCACTGATAGGGAGATCCCAAACCTCCCAGTCCTGCAAACAGCCTGTGATGCTTCCAAGCTGTGCCAGAGCCATTTGCTTTCGCATGTACTTTCCTCCACAGCTGATATCCACAGGGCTGCAGCAGATGGTCTGAGCCTACAGAAAGGTTAACTGGGCAAGGAGGTGCTGTATTTCCAATCTAGACTCCTAAATTCTTCTGTCTTGACTCTAAGGCTTTTTCCTTTCAGGTTTCCATAGCAGTTGGGCTGGCAGCTTTTGCTTGTGTCCTCTTGGTCGTCCTCTTTATTATGATCAACAAGTATGGCCGGCGGTCCAAGTTTGGGATGAAAGGTACGTGCAGTTGCTTTCCTCTAGCAGGAGGCACCTTCCAGGATTGCCCGGCTCTTATAGCACCCGTGGAAAGGTGTTGTGGTTTTATTCCTACATTGTCAGTATTGGTGCAAAGCCTGGTGAAGAGAACGTTGTCCAGCCCTCTTCTGTTTGTTGAGAGAGTAAGAGAGACGTACAGGCTGGTGGTTCTCACCTGTATGTGCTTCTGCTGTGCAGAAGTATGCATGTGTTTTCCTTATCAGTACATAACTGCATCTGCAGGTTGCCCAGAAGAGCTTTGAGCCTGCTCCCTCCAGCTCTATGTTGAGAGAGGTGTACTCAAGAGGGCATGTTCTTTGATTAAATCTTTTTTGCAGACTTGATGATGCATGGGTTTCCCCTTGCATCGCACTGGGTGCAGAGTGCAGGGTGTGAAGGGAGATGAAGGTGAATGTGAAATTGGTTTGGGTTCTGTTGGAAAAGCAGGTGCACCCATTCTGTGCCTGTCTGTGAACGGGGACCAAGACGCTGCTGTAAGTTTGTAAGATCCATGCTGGGAAAGCAATTGCTGACCTGTCTTTCAGTGATGTGGAAGGTCTCTTTCTGCTTCCTCTTTGTTAGAAGGTTTTCTCCTCTGCATCATGAATAACCACTTCAGGAGCTATTTCAAGTGTTCTTGGTAGTGATTGGAAAGTGAGGTGTCTGATGTTTGCCAGGCAGAAATGGTCTCTCTGTCCTACCAACACCAGTGCTGTGATGTGATAGAGCTAATGCCAAAAGTAGATGACTCTGTGCCATCTGCTTTTTGTGACTCTGCTGGTATCTCCAGTTGGACAGCGTTGGTGGTGCCCAGTGAGGGCTGGAGGAAGAGCCTTCACCTGACAAAGTAGTTTCAAGCCTAATTGGTGGCTCATGCATACACCATTTGAAGCCAGACTTTGATGAACACAAGCTTCTGGCTCATGAGCTCCTGAGTCGCAGCCTATTTCCTGGCCTTGCTGGGGTCTGCTTTGCAGGGCAGGTTGATAGGTTTGGGAACATTTCTTGTGCCTGCCTAGGGCTTTGTTTCCTTTAGAGACATTTCCTGAGTGGGTCCAGATGGGATTCTGGCTGGAGTTTCCCCTATGCATCCTAGGAAGATGAAAGACAGGACATTTAATTAAATAGCAAATCTTCTACACCAACTTAGCAATATTTAGTCCATATGTCCAATGATAAGAACCATCTGCTAGGGTGTACTGACTGGTGGGTGGAGTAGAGGAATGGAAGACAGGGTTCCTGGGATCAATTCCCAGCTCTTCTACTGACTCACTTAGTGTCCGTAGGCAATTAGCTGTCTTAACCTCTGTCTCTGCTTTAATTTCCCCATCTGTAAAATTGGGATGATGTTACGTGCCTTCTGGAGGGATGTGTCAGAACAGTTTGGAAGTGCTTGGGCATTTGCCACTGATGGGGCTTAGAGATACAAATATAAAAAGGAAAAGTAACTTCTGACCCTAATGGAAGAATCAAAAAGGTGTGAAGCTTATGTGAGTAACCAGACTTAGTGAACAGGTGTGTGTACGTGTTCAGAGGTGTTTGGATAAGTATGTTAGTGGGCATTCTGCATTCCCAGAAACCAGAAGGGTGCTGTGATGGGCCCTTGTGTGTGCAGTTTTTGGAAGGCATAAAGGTTTAGCCAGAAAAGCCTGCTTTCCTCCTCCTCATGCTGTATTTCTTCTCTGATATGAAACCACAGCCCTATAGAGTTTCTAAAAGTTTTATTGATGACATTGTTTGGAGAGATGGAGATGACAGAAATTAAATACATCTTTAAAACCAGGGAGATAACTCTTTAATGAGTCACAAGTGTCATCGGCACCACCATGGGCAGCCTACTCACACTGCTTAAGGTCTGCTCCCCATTGGAGGCTGCAGATCCTCCTGCCCTGTGGACAGTCTTCCTAGCACATGGCTTTACCTGCTCTGAGCCTCCTGCTTTTCCCCAGTATCTCTTCTGCCTACACTTTTTTCTTTTAGCCATAGCACCGTTGTCAACTGCCATGCCATCAGTCTCTGCATCTTTAGCCTGTATCTCCCTTCTTTGCATCAGGCTTGCTACCAAACCTCATCACTTTCATTCACAACACAAAGGTAACGCTTCTATTCACCTGCAGTGGCTGGGATGCTTGGTGGTACCCTGGCCATGGTCTGCCCTGGCAGCTGTAGCTTATTTATTTCTCACCCCCCCAAGAAACGTCACAGTCCCCTGCACGCTTTCCAAAATGCAGTTTTTAAATTCTCCTTTCTTGCTGCTCTGCAGGTCCACAAATCCAGAGCCTTACTCTTGCCTTTGGTTGCTTTAGGGTCTCAGCCAAGCTGTTGCAGTTGGTCCCAATCTGGCAGTGATACCTTGAAGCTTGTGTTTGTGCTTGCTGTCTCTTTCCCTGGTGTCCCCTCTTTCACTCTGCTAATGGGCTGCTGTTCCTTTTCTCCTCCCTGGAGGTTTTCTGCTCATGAGGTGATGACCTTGTGCAAATCATCAAATCACTTTACTGAGTGGTCCTGAGCTGCTCTTCCAGGGGTTCACAAACAGGTCCTATCTTATTCTGACATCCTGTATGGGACAGTGCAGCTGGCAACCACCTCCAAATCTCGTTTAGCCAACACTTTCCTCTAGGTCCCTCATTATCAGTTAATTCTTGGGCAGGAGCCATCCTGTGTGGCACCTAGCATGTTATCATTTACCAAGAAAAAAAAATCCAAACCCTGAGTCTTTTTGGGAAAGTGCATCATTCCGTGAATCAGGAGCTGTTTGTCGCCAGCTGATATGCTGCCACTTGTTGTTGAAATCCCAGCTTGGCAGGCCTGCAGGAGCAGGTTTTTCCTGTTGTTTTTGTCACGGATGCAGAACATTGTGTGCTCATGTTGGACACGTTATCCAAAGCACCTCGTGAGCCTCTCTGAGCACATCTTTTTCCTCCTGCATCTCCTAGCATTAAGCAGATGGTTTATCTCCTAGAGGGAGAGAGGTAGACTTGGACCGACAAGGTTGGATGTCAGGTTGGACTGGAAAGTCCTCCTGGGCCAGCGTACTGGGTTGCCCACCAGTCTTAAAAGTGGACTAATGGGCTGAAATGTGTCCAACATCCCAGCTGCCTTTACTGAAAAGAAAGTCACTGCATCTCGGGGCACGTGGCTGGGGGAGGACTACGAGAAGATAGTGTGTCCACATTTGTCCTCTTCTGGCTGGTAGCACACCCTTGGAGCATTGCACGAGAGTCCTGGCAGAGCCACCACTCTGATTATGACCCGGCTACTGATACAGTCAACAGCCAAGCGGTGGAAAAGCCTGCGCTGCCAAGCACGCCGTCAATGGGCTGGAGCGGTGGCATCAACAAAGGCTCCTTGTGAAGGGAGCTCTGACGCGCTGTGCTCCTGGCTCCTTGGCGTCCCTCGGCTGATCTCGCGGAGGCTGGCTCCATGCCATCCTCCTCGCCTTTCCCTTCTCCCTCCAGAGAGGGCTTTCATTAACATGGGATGGCAGAGGTCAGATCCCCTTTCTGGCCGCCTGTCGACTTTGGCTCCTGTAGCTGGGGGCGGATAGGGGTGGGCTGAAGCAGCTGCGGGGGGGGCTGGGGGATCCCTGGAGCTGGAGTGGCAGAGGTGGCAGGAAAATGGCAAACAAAGCGCCTATTTGTGAAACGTGGTGCTACATGGGCAACACGGAAGGAGCGGAGGGGAAACCGCCAGGAAAAGTGAATGCAAAAACTGAGAAGCGATGAAGTCGCAAACATGGGCTGCAACCGTTTGCTAAAGGGTGGTGTATCCAGGCGGGGAGCTGAGATGCTTTTTAAAGTCTTATATTAGTGTGGGAAGAAGAATGGGATCTAACAGAGCAAGGAATTGGGAATCAGGGCACTTTGGTGTATTGCTGTGTCCCAGGGGAGTGGGTTTTACAGGTGGAATAGGCCGCATGGGAGTAAGGAGTCCAGCATCCTGCACTCCGTTTTTGCTTGCTCCGGCTCTTAGCTCAGTTTCGTGCATTCCCTGACCGCCCGCTGGAGGTGGAGGGTTTTACACCTCAGCTTCTGGGGTCAGGCTTGTCACCACAAGCCTCGTAAACCTGAGTCTTCCCATCAAAGTTTAATCCCAGCAGATTACAGGAAATGAAATTTCATAATATAATAAAAAAGCCACACGCAAGTCCTGAGACTAACAAAAATGAAATTTCATAAAACAATAATAACAGCACAGAAAAGTCCTGGGACTAACAAAATGTTCGGATGGCACAGCGATGGAGGCCATGTAAATGCTTAGGTTGATGGACTGAAATATATGCTGCTTTTGCTTGTTTTCTGTTACTTTTGCAAGTGCCTAGGGATAAGGAACGTGTACTCATGCATATTTGTGTGATATATTCCTGGTGCTGCACAACTTTAAAAAAAAAATTAGAAAAAATTGAGTTTACAGAGATACAGGGAGAAAGATGCTAGAGAAAATCCAGAGACAAGACCACTTGTCATTTTGCTGAGATGAACTGTTTTCTAGGCTCTGAGATTAAAAACTACTTGCATTCTCCAAATTAAGGTTTCTTCCTCAGGTAGAGACAGTGTCAGCTAATGGTTCAGACTTGGTTACAGTTGGCAAAGAGTCGATTGCTTTTTAATCAGATTTCCTAAAGAAATAAGATGTATGATCGCGCTGCCTCTCTGCACGCGTTGCAAACGTGTGTACAGCTCTGCCTGCCTGGTTTTTCCCTTTCTCTGCTGCAGCTTTTGTATCTGCCAGCCAGTTCCACCCAGAGGAGAGCGGGAAAGGACTTAGAGATGCCTTTACAGGCATCATGGAAATAAGGGGGATAAATAGAGGATGACAATTTGGGTGCTGCCCCACTGATGGAAATGCCTCGAGCCTTTCTGGGCATCAGAGAATCCATATGGAAGCTCAGCCTTGGACAGAAAAACAAAACACAGGGGACCAGGCTTTCACGGGATCTGCTGTGGTGGGTGGTGCGTGCATCTACACAGGCATATACGTAT